CCCTTGTCAATCGACATGTTCATCATCCACATGAAGAGCAGCAGCCATGGCGAGGCATACGCAGAGGTTATGAAGACAGTGCATGAAAGGGTGGAAAATGATAACATCTTGGACTATCAGTTGTACCATATTCGTCAACCAGGAAGGGAGCGTGAAACTTACTTTCACTAGCCACATGATTAGCTGGAAAATAACCTTCCTGGCCCTTCCCTAAGCTGCCGTACCACCAGTCTTCATTATCTTTGAAAAACACTCGGATAATGTCTCCGCGATGGATGGTGAGTTCATCTGATCGATTCGCTGTGTAGTCATAAAGAGCCACTACCTAAGGGAGAGATAAGACCACCACAGCTTTATCACAACTGCACCACAGAGAAAACCCCCCACATTCACTTCCTCTTGCAGAAGAGCAGCTGAAACCAAAGCAGTACTTTGGTAAGTCTGAGGCTGTCTGAAGGTCTGCTAATGGGATCAGGGCTGGTGGGAACCCAGCAGGAGCAGCAAGATAAAAAGACTGTGGGATTGAGAAATGGTTAAGAACATTCAATACACTAAGATTAGGGTAGAAAGAACAGATGTTAAAATTTTTTTTTAAGTAAATTACTTGAGAATTAAAAAAAAAAAAAAAAGCTCACAGAATTAAAAAAAATTCACTTTCTTAGAATTGTTTCAGACGACCCTCAGGTCCAATTGTCAGTGCTCTGCAGATGCGTCAGAAAAATAATTCTCCAAATGCCAACAGTTTACAGAAAAGGAGAAGCCCAATGGAACACCCTGATTGCAAACCTTCCCTGTGATCGCTTGGGTTGTTTGTTTGTTTGTTAATATGTTAAAAAGAAAATACAATCAATTCCCCTATAAACACATACAAGGAGCTTTGAAAAGTTGGTGGGAAAATTCTAGTTATCTTTTTCATTCAATTTTTCCAAGCATGTTTGAAGCCCCCTTGCATTTTCAGTTTTAAAAACCTGGTGTTTTATAACAACAATCCATAAATAAACCTTTTGATGTATATACTCATTTAAGTTTATTTTCATAGATTTATGTTTAAGAAGTAAAGTCTGAGAATTTTTCTCCATATTATTACAGTGATCACTGTATCATATTTTTTGGGAAAAAATGCTATCGTCATAGCTACAAAAGCATTTAAAAATGCGAATAGCACCACTTTTCAAATGAGCATAAAAGAGGGGGCCAGTCATCAGTGGACACTTGAAATCAGATGCCATGTATCAATACGGCCACAGTAACATAGAAACTAAAGAACGAACTTCTGGACTCCAATTCCCTCCCTCTTCTAAAATGTCAAGAAATGTTTTTCTTGGTTAGACAACTACATGTCACATGTAATAGAGAATCCTAATCCTCTGCATTTGGATTGTTTGAATACTGATCCTTCATCTGACACACACTTATCAAACTCCCAATGGGGCTGAGTAATTAGAATTTAAGAGCTACATAAATGCACCGCTATGGTACCAATTCCAACTTACAGCCACCCTATTGGACAGGAAGAACTGCCCTGTGATTTTCAAGAGTGTAGCTTTTTATAGGAGTAGAAAGTCCCATCTTTCTCCTGAAGAGAGGCTGGTGGTTTTGAACTGCTGACCTTGTGGTTAGCAGCCCAACATGTAACCACTATGCCACCAGGGCTCCAATAAGAGCTATGTATACAATGGTTCATAGATACTTTTTAGCAAGGGTCCCCAGTGTGGCTTTTGTAATCAGAAATTAGTCAATGGAGAGAGAAAGTATGTCCGAGACAAAGCACACACACCTTGTTGAGAATACAGGGTGAGGAACGTGGTCTTCGCAGAGAGGGCTTAGTTGGAAGGGCAGGGGAAGCTGAGGCTGAGTAAGCAGTGGTCAGATCATGCATCTGGAGAGAGATGGCATTAGGTCTCAAGCAAAAAAAGATGCAGAAGAACTTGAAGCAAAAAAAAATAAAAATCTACTGCAGTTCACAAAACTCTGGTATTTAAAAATTAATTTAACAATATTCACTACCACACAGTTTGCACTAGGCAGTTTGAAATAGGTAAGTTTGGAGCACTACATAGAATAACTTGTACATATATAATTTAACTCAAGTAGTACACTTGCAAGGCCTCCTATACAGCTTAGCACAGTACCTACTTTATAACACGCTGTTCGGAATGACTGAAGTTTCCAAATCTATGATGGCTTTCAGTATACGGTGCCAAAGTCATTTATGTCAAAGTGGTATTTGCCCCCGGAAAAGTCTTCCTTCTTCCAACCCGTTCTCCTCCATTGTCCTACAAGGCACCCCCACTGAAGAGGGGCGCTCTGACAACGTACTGAGTGCCTGCGTGTTCTACATGCCATGCGCATGGATAACCTTGTGAGAGCATAGATTCTTACTGCCATTTTATAAATGAGGAAATTCATGCCCAGAGAAATTCAATAACTTTGTAAAGTCAAGTAAACTAGTCAGTGCTAGAATCAAAACTTGAACCCAGTTGGCTTTATCTCCCTCCCAAACTACATTTATAGGGCATCCTTGCCGAGAGCCAGACAACAGGAAGCAATGGGAGGCAGCAGCAGAGAGGAAAGGGAGAGGGCCAGATCCTAATCACGCAGGAAAGACGAAACACCTTTGTGGGCAGTAGTATTTAGGCAGCCAGGAAGATGAATGATCATGAAGGCCCACTGGCACCCAAAGCCCAACCCCAAGAAACTGTGTTAGTCTTGGGTACACAAAGCATGGCAACTTGAAAGATTTATGGAAGCACAGGGTCGGTGTTTGCTTATTTATCTGGAGCCAGAGGTGTACCTTTGGAAGGAAGGTGGGGAGGGGAGGGGGTTCAGCTATGAAGTCCCATGTGGACTACTGACCATCTTACATTTCATCAAGCTGGAGGGGAGAACTCGTGAGGAGTCCCTGTGGAGGCAAAGGGCCCAAAGGCTTGTAATATCTTACACTTCAGTTTTCCTACAACAAGGGTTCTTGTCTGCCAAGGAGACCATTCCTCCTTGTACCCTACAGAACAGAGTAAAACCAGTCCTGTTTCCTAGAATGTAATTTTTATGAAAACCGAGAACTTTTCTCCCATGGAGCTGCTGGTGGACTCAAACCACTGACTTGCCAGTTAGTAGAGAGACAAGTGCTTAACACCAACACCGTCTATAATCCCCACTGACTATTTGTCGTGTCAGGAGAGGATGGTGTTGAGGGGCTCATCTGACATTGTCGGCTGTGGACTGAGAGTGCTAAGCATCAAGCACGGTAACAAGTGTTAGAGGGCTGTGGATGAGAAAATCAGGCACAAACGGAAGATGACCACATCAGATCACAAAATGGAAAATCCTTACATAACCGTCAAACTGCAACAAGACATAACTTCAAAGTGACTGCACCACCCAGCAGCCAAACCAAGGCAAACCATGACCAAGTCAAGGACACATCTAACTTATCACAGTCAGGCTTACCTTCACCCAGCACCTGGGCATTCAATACTGCCACACATGTCATGAGTACACAAAATACTCAGATAGTAGATTTTGCGCTGTTATCCTAAATGAGAAATGTCAGCTAATGGGAGAGTGAGGACTCGGTATCTGGCTATATAGCAATTTGTTTACTCATTCAAAAGTTGTAGTGCAGGTGGAAAAGTGAGTAAATAAATAACTAAACTTGGTAGGTATGTAGGCTCTTCCTAATGTTTGGAAAAAAATATAATGACATGAGATTTCATGTACACATTTCTTTAAAAAAAATCATTTTATTA